CGTAATCCCTACTGCCACAATCCTGACACATAAAACAGGGCATAAGATTGTATTATACCCTGATATAAGGGATATGATTAGATATACCATAAAAAGACAAACTGATATTACACGCAAATGCACTGAGAGCTGTGGTCTCAATTCTGATGAACTTGTAAGGTTTATTCAGAAATCTCATTGAACAGACATTTAAGTCATGCCATGTCATACGTGTATTTCCTACATAGCATTCCATTGAAACTGTATGTGAAATTTCTTGTGTTCTGACAGAGGATCTGTTTTCAAACTACCTCATTAAAAAGTAACATTCACAGTGTTCAGAAAACAAAGACAGCAAGAAATCTGCTTCTCCCAAACCTATTATTTCAGAGCAGTGAAGTCTGCTGAGGGTTATTGAATTATCATCAGACAGGCAAAAGCAGGAAGCAAGTTACGCTACTGTTTACCAGACTACAAGACATGCAAGTGCTGTTGAATATGAATAACAAAGAATTAAAATATTCATTCTGACCTTACAGGGCCAAGACTCCCTCTCTCCAAAGTTACCGCATACCGAAGTAATAGCTGTTCTTCATTTACTCAAGATCAAATGTTTCTCAAGGCATGTTCAGTATCTTCCAACATAATCTTACTCCACACAAAAGGAAATTGGTTACGTGTATGTTATCCAAGGAAGGCTGAGTAATTCACTGTGGTAGGAAAGACCTCTAAAAATAAGTCACCTCTCAGCAGATTCACTCCCTTCCTGTCTGGGTTTGAATCAGTTTGCAACTGCATGAAAGGACAAAGCTTGAGGATGAACTACAGAGAACTTCTGTAATGGTAACACTGCTCAAATACATTAATTTCACTCCTACTCTGTTTAAAAGAATACAACTATTAGGGGTGGAGCAAGCCAGTGACCCAACAGGATGTGCATGACCAAAGCTCCTCGTGCGTAACCTTCTGCTTTCATGTTTATTTTTGGATGTATTTTCCTTTGTGCTTTGAAACAGTTTTTTGGGCAAGGTAGCTAGCACCACGCTAACTCAATGATGTCAAAGAGGGAAAGCAAGTTCTTATCAACACAAGAGTCCCTCTTCCTACAGATTCCTATAGCACCTTGTAAGTCTACAGTGATGAAAAACTTTTTTCATGTTTGTTAGTGCTTCTGAGAGATGAAGGCCAGGGGCAATCAGTGCACAAAGGCACACGACCAGCGATTCCGTGACTGCTCAGAGCTTTTTCATAAGGGAACAGTGTTCAGCTGTGTGAGAACCTAACCAGAGATTTCATCACCTCGAATCTGCTATACCAGCCCTTGATAGAAAAACAAGACTCCAAGGATGAATAAGCTTAGAAGTTCAACAGAAGTTCCCAAACAGGATGCTACTTCAAGCGATATAGTCATTAGAGAAAAGACTAGGCCATTTTAACTGGTAATTGTTGTTATCAGGACAGTATCATTTGTTTTGACCAGCATTCCTTGACTGTTAAAAATGAAGGTCACAGAAAATCTTTCTGTATTTAAAGAGCTGAATGAATATGTGGTTCTGTATATTGCAGAAGGCATCTTATCATATTTTTGATAAAAGAATATCCTATCTTTCCTTCAAAGATTATTTAATGGCTTAATGGGAGTTGGCAGTATTAAGTTTACGGTTGGACTTGATCGTGTCAAAGCTCTTTTCCACCTAAATGATTCTATGATTCTAAATTTATAAAATTGACAGAAGAATAGTGATAAAAAAAAAAAAAAAGCTTGTTCAGAAGTAGCAATCTCTTTCTTTTAGGTGTAGACCCAACTGTAACCATACTCAAAGAACTTAACACACTTTTCTACACATTGTGCATTAAATATGTTAAATCTGGTCTGTGAAACATTCTATCGATAAAATTGTTTCTTAGAGCAATACAGGAAAAGTTAGTTTTCAATTTAAACAAAAGTCAGAAAAATCTGCAAATTCATATATGAAAAGGATACTCTTTGTCTTTCAAAGTAAGAAAAACATTTGTTGCAAACATCAACATCATCAGTAGGTTTCAGTGTTAAAAAATTTTTACTATAAAGGAAGTTAGTTCATAGCTCTTACTCCTATAATTTCAGATTCATTACACAATAAATTAACATCAATACTGAATCAATTTATACTGGTTCATTTTCCTAGATTATATTCACAACCGTAACATCAAAAGAGTATTAAAAATTCCAGTCTTGGAATTTCCATGCTCTGCATGCCAAAAGTCTTTAATCAGCTAACAGAGAGTTTTTGTTTGTTTTTACCCTCAAAAGAGGGAAAAAAGTAAATTCACCCAAAAGTAAACTTCCTGGGGAAAAAAACCCCAAAACAAACAGAAACCTTAATCATATCTAAAATGTATTTTTTGTACTTCTATTGTTATTAATATAAATCCTACATTCCTAAAAGCAGTAAATATTTTAAGAATTCCAACCCTACCACTTCTTTAGGTTGTTCTTAAAGTACATTATTTTAGAACTATTCAATATTTTTTTAATGGAGAAACTATTTCTTTCTGGAATTAAATTCTCATCTGGAGAGGTGAAAATTGATTGCATGCACCAGATTTTAATTTCTATTGCATCTGAATTGTAATGACACTGACATTGTTGCCTTTTCCCATTTTGTCCATGGTACCACTGATCACAAATATCTGTGATCCATTCTTGACTTTGTATGGGTTTTCACTTAAAAAATTAAAAAATTATCCGAATGGCACATCACTGTATCAATAACCATTTCCCCATACGGGCTTTGTCATAGCACAGATACATGAAGCTTGGGATAAGGTAGACAGAACAACACAGCATCCATAACATATCGAAAAGTTTCCCTGAGGAAAAGTATTTCCTTTTCTCCAGATAACAATAATACACTACTGCTGCTATTCCAAGTATATTTTAGGAGAATTTTCTTAAATAATTTTCTGTCTGTTTTGAACATTCTGTTTATCATACATTAGTTGCAGTTTCTGTAGGCTTTGAGATTAGTAGATTGCAAGGAACCAAATACTGCTTTGACAAAAAAGAGCAATTTAATTCTACCTCAGGCTAACCAGAGAAGCTGTATTTCATGGCATAATTTTCCACTCATGCACAAGGATAGCCTCCTTGAAAGTAAGCACACCAAAATACATGAAAAGTTCACTGTAAAACTGCACAAAAGGCAAAGAAGCACCACAAAGCTAAACTGCAGTCCGTGACTGACACCTGCAGCATCTGTGACATGCTCTACTGCACAATTTCATAAAATCTGCAACTTACAAGATGTGTGCTAAGGCTCCCTACGATAGCTCCTAATACTTTCAGCACACATGACCTTTTCCAAAAAATCTATCATCAAAAAAATCATCAAGATCAGCAAAATTGTTAGAAATGGCATTGTGTTAGTGATTAAAGAGCAAATGACATCAACCATTTCGTTTTAAAACAACTTTATGTTTTAAAGTTAAAAATTTTTAAGAGGGAAGTTAACCTCGACTACCCCAATATTTCTGACAGGAAACCAATTATCTCTGAATGCTTAGAAGAAAAGTCATACACATAGACACATAGCAGAAATTACTCTGCTTACACCAATTAAAAGCGAATTTAAAAAAAAGTTACTCAAGAATCCTACAATTGCATTTATTCTCCTCCATCACGAGCTAGTAAAGCACTATCTACATTAAAAATCTCTGACCACTGGCAAGTGTAGCATATGTTAAAACAGATAAGACCTCTGGCATATTTAATCTTTTAATGCCAGGATCTAAAACTATAATGCAGCTCCTGTTGAGAAAAAAGCATGAATTGCAGAAAAATACTGCATTCTGAATTTCTTCAAATTTCCTATGAGACTTTACTAGCATTTTATTTTAGCTGTAGACATTGCCAAAAAAGCAGTATAAATTATGGCTACGCAATTCAAAAAATGAAATCTGATATTGTCAGAGCATTCATCAGCAAGCACGTTTCATTCACACATTGGTCTTTCATGCCTTGATCATGCTGTACCATTAACCATGCTCAAGGCAACATATTTGCAGGCAGGTTTTATTAGTGCTGTTTCCTCAGTCAGTGTAGCTAGTTGTGGATTTTATTTTCTTCCTGATAGCCTCACTTTCGTACTGCTTTAGGACAATTATTTGGAGTATAATACTGCTCTTTGTCAGGAAAAGAGAAAGTAAAAAAAAAATCCATCAGTCTGCACTTAGAAGAGAAGTTGAACTACAATGCTACAACCAGCATCTATTTCTTAAATATAGTTAATGTTCCTAGAGCTGCAACTTTAGGACACTGTCACACCATCTGACAGCTCTACATAACACTGAAATTTGGACAGTCACCATTTAAAACAAGCTGGTGGTATAAAATGGCAAGAGTAGGCCAGGCCAACAGAATGCCTTCAAACTCCCAGAACGCTTTTTAAATCAAGTGTAAAGCTTACAAAAATGTAAACTGATTGAAGTTCAGTAACATGTTAATGAAGTCATCTCAGCATGGATACCAATGCATACACAGATTATACAATGAATAACCTCAGCAGTAAGTTCTCCACAACGGAAAGTTCTAAGGGAATTCACATGTAATCAGTAACTTAATTTTTAAGTTGATCCATCTGCAAATTCTAAACCCCCTACAGCTGGTGATAAGACAGGAGTAAAGGAGAATAATTTAAAATATCAGAGTATATCAAGGATAGACTCTCTTCTTAAATGTTGGCAATAAAAGCAAGTTTAAAGCTAAGAAAGCAACACCTGCACTATACAAATAAATTCCACCAGAAATTTCACCTGAGTTATTTCATTAGAGGAAGACTGTAAGAAAGAAACACAGGAGTACATAATCATACAGAATATGAAGCACTAAAAAGAAGTAAAAAGACTTTCTTTTTTGTCCAAACTAATTTAAAATAATTATTACTTTGCCTACAGTATAAATGTGCTTACATTTCATTAGAAATACTTTAAAGGTCAAACCACTTTTTTTCTGCATAAACTGCAAGTAAATCTGAACTTACCTCCCAAAGTGCCTTAAAGTCCTTCTGCTCAATTCGAAGGAGCTCGCTATATTCTCTGGTAACGATGGTAGCATGGCGAGGAGTGTTATCCAGAATGGACTCTCCAAAAGCAGTTCCTATTCCCAGAGTGCATATTGTCACAGCATCCTTTGAATTAAAAATAAAAGGGCACATATTAAATATTCCAGCATGTTTTAAGAGTCTTTATGTCACATTTGCTAATAGCACTGCCTTAAGAGTCTTCAGCTATTTGCTTTAAAAGAAAACTAATTAAAAGCGCCAACAAAAAAATTAATATGCTGATTAACAACACAGGAAGCATCAATGTGGAAGCAATGTGTTTTCTATGGCCATCAGCTGAATTAGATATTTCTGTCTGCAAAGCAGAGAAGACAAGAGACACCTTCACCTTTGGAAGAAAGTTATGACCGCTCTTAAAATGCTGTGATGACGAGATCCTTTAGAAATGTCAGAGGTGATCAGAAGATAACTAGCATCAGAAATGCTATCCTGGAATATAAATTTCTGCCCTATATAGGCTACCCTCATCAGAACAAAAATTTGACTGTTATGTTTTTTCTACAAACATACCTTTCAATTATAATATCCTCTTGTATTTATAATGCATTTTTCTATTGTACAAGGTCTGAGTGCAATGCAGTTGTACAGTTCAATCAACTCCTGACCTTTCTGTTGAAAATGCCAGTAAATCTCTCAATTGTTAACGGATACCTGCTGATTAAGTACCAGACTAAATATATAATCTTTTTTCACATAAGTCTGAGAGTTCAAGAAAACTACTAAAGTCCAAAACAACCTGGAACAGAATATTCAGGATGGTCCCAAACATGCAGTAAAGTCCACTTCAAAAGAGTCTATAGGAGCACATGCTATTAATGTGATGGAAAGATGTCTAAATCAATCCCCCTTGGCCAGGAACTCCTCTGTAATAGCTCCAACACAAATTATGATCTACTGCAGACAAAAAAATTAGACTACTAGAAATTAAATAACTTGCTGCTTCAAGATCTTCAGATACATGTTCTATTCTAGGCTTACAAGTTGCTATGTTCCTGAGCGCCGGCTTCAAGCTGAACACTTATGTATGTCTCTTTCTAAGTTGGGTCTTAACTGACTGTCTTTTGAGTAGTGAAAAAAAAACAAAAAAAGCAACAGCATTAAAAATTTAAACTGATACATACTGCACTTTACTAAGGAACTCATATATTCACACAGACAAATACACATAAACATATAAAAACACATGCTAATTTTACTTGACACAACATTAGAAATACAGTTTAGTATTCAAATGTAGGATTCATGAAATTGGAGTATTTTGTCATCCCATCCACTGTATCTTTATGGCTGATAATCCAGGAGAGATGCATGAGCATATTTCAGCATCATTTTCTGTGTTTAAAATTGTTTTCCTTTCATGCATCTAATAAGTGGTAATAGGCAAATGTTATTAAGATCAAGTTAGTAGCTTTATAATTGCATTACAAAGACAAATGCCCATAATAGGCCAGATCCCTGAACCATAGCAAATTGCTTTTGCACAGATACTACCATATAGAACAATGTGTTCAGGAAAACAAAATCCATTATGTCTTAGAAAAAATCTAGGAAGAATTTACAAACTGTCTGAAATAAATTTTCAAGGAAGGTAAATATGGACAGGCACTGTTTAAAAGAAACAGTATTTGGGAAAGAGCACCTAGGCATCTAAAGAGAAGTCTCTACAAACAGCCTATAATACAGGCTATACACTTAAAGTTCCACCTTAACAAGCTTATCTTTCAGAGCTGAAACACTGTATGCACACTACCATACCCACAGCTGCACTCAAAGGAGACACAAAGAAAATGTGCCTACTCCTCACACAAAATTTGATCTCCAGGTCTCCAATACATTATTCTCAACTTTATTTAGAAAGTTCAGATAAAAGATCTCTGTTCAGGGCAGAATAACCAAATCACCTGGCAGAAAATGAAACTTTCCCATTAGGTGGATCATAAGGAATATTTACATCTTCCAACTTCTTTACCACTCCCCTCCCTCCCTCCAGAAAAATAAACTGCTTTGAAATGCTTCACCTTTATGGATTCTTCACAACCCTAAAGAATAGATGTTTAGAGACAGAATAGAGAATAGGAGAAAATGACCAGTATTAGGAAGGAACCACTTAAGGAACCACTTTCTAAGATAACTTCTGATAAGCCCGCTGTTCAGCCTAAGAAATAAATGAACATTGTGGGGTGTTAAGTCAAGGAGCTGGAATGGTCCTATCTACGTTCATTAAAGTCCAGGCTTCTATAAAGTGAAAGCTCTTCCAGTTTTTTTCCCTAGCCATCACTGCTCTCCACAGAGATGCAGTTTCGCAGTCAGCTGGGGAGCAAGCCCATCTGTCTTCTTCAAAATTTCAGAGCCCCGTTTTCTCTCTGTCCCTTGTTTATATATCTCCAGCCTATGGGGAATCAGGTGTGCGTTTCCTATTCCGCCTGTTAACCTTACACTCTAGAATCTCCTGCTGTTCAGTGTAGGCTTCAGGAGGATTGCTAGCAACTCAAAACTCAGTTTGCTGTTCCCCTCTGCAATCCCAGAAGCAGCAGGGGGTTCTCACTGCTGGTAACCAGCTAAACTTCATACGGCTATTTAAAAGACAGTATTAAAGACTTAAAAAGATGAGATTGTTTCCATTGCTCGTCTGTCCCCTGAACACACTATAAAATGGCAGCGTTCAAATCAGAGGTTGTTTGTGTATTCAGTTTCACTGACTCTCACTAGCAGCTGAGACACATGCAGTGAAGAGTTGTTAAACCTCCCCCTCCCTGACTCCCATCAATCTAAACATTACTGAATTTGTAAGACCATCCTACTGAATGGTTGAGAATCAGAAACAAGGCTCTGCCTTATTCCCTCCCCCAGCATCACAAGGCATATCGCCTGCATGCTCCTCCTTGACTTGTGATACTTTCTATTTTCCAACCTGGCAAACAGAATTTTTGTACTGTGTGTAAATAAAATCAGGGTGTCTGAAAGAGAAATTAAGAAAATAGGAAAAAAAAACTACGAGTGCTAGGTTGAAATTTTAGTTTATTCAATATTTTGAATTTATAATGGAGTTGATATAGCCAGTTTGTTTTCAATTTCATCATTTTCCCACACCTTGCACCTTTATCTCACCTCCGCACCTATGTCCCTCCCGGACTCCATACCATCTCCATGTTTAACTGGAGATCTGCACAAGCTGGCATTTTGAAAAGTTTGTTTATTATTACTTTGACACAGTCCGCCTTGTCCTCAGGAAAAACTTCCTTTTATAACAGAGAAACCAGAGAATACACATGTAAGTAAACTATCTTCAAAGTGATTTTCCTGTTCCATTACCTCCCCTAGAGTATATTTCAGCCACTAGACAAGAAATCACACTACTTTTAAAGATAACATAGAAATACCTTCCCACATTAGAACTGCAGTTTTCCAACATAGGCTACAGCATCCTCTTTACACAGGACAAGGTGATTTGCTTAAAGAAGGCATTATGCTTCTAGAAAGACTGTGATCAACTTCTTATCTAGTTCCTAATTAAAATATTTACAGATCAGATTAACTGTACTGTTATAACATATTCATTACTTCCATACCTTTCTATCTGATCCTCTAAAAGCTACCTGCAATCTCTTGGATTTTTTGCTATGTAATCTGGCAGACAGAAGTGAAATGATTTTTCTATATCGGCTTTCAATAAGCTAAGTTCATAATCAAAGCTAGTACAACCACGACACTGTGGAGCTCAGCATGGGCCAACACACTCAGCTTCTCAGCTGAGTACGTTAGTCCAGTCAATCTCTGTGTTACAATAGGTAGAGCAGTTCTTGTGCTCAAACTAAATAACTTAAAGCGAGCTTGGGCATATTTACACTACACTACAGACTACAGTACAAACCTATCTTACAACTTCACAGGGGATACCTCCAAAATACATAATGGCTATTTACATGCATACATAATGGCATTTAATGCAGAAAGCAGTACTGCAAGGACTGCCCTCTTTAAATCTCTTTCCTTGTTTCCACTTTATCTTATCACATACCTCCTTTGTCCTCAGTTTCAAACAGCCAGGAAATTCTTCTCTTTCTTACATGGACATCTGAACCTCTTTCTTCACAGTTATTCTTCTCAGCAACCCCACTAACTTATTTGGCTTTTGATCCTCAGCCTTCTGCATCTTCCTACAACTGACACTGCTGTACCACCCAAGCACCCACAGCTCCTCCTTTAAACCTTTTATAAAAAAGTCTGATTGTTTGTAAAGTCAATGTCCTGTGTTCAGTTTGGTCTGTTTCTAAAATCTGATCAGCTTAAAAAACTCCACCCAAACACAGGCAAGATAAACTAGCAATGGCCCCCAGCCGGCAGACTACAGCAAACCTGAAGATTAAATGGCTATTTGGTCTTTGTCTTTTTTCTCTTCATTCTTTCTTGTTTTATCACATATGAATATAAATCTTAATCATTTGGGGTAAAAAGCTCTGGATCTAATTCAGTAAAAGACAATGCTGCAGAATCTGGCAAAGATGTCACACTGATGCTTTTGTTGTAATGCATTTATTCCCAGCTTCATTCTGAGACATCACCAACAGACAACCTTCAGAACTTGTTCATTTTCAAAACAGAGTTCAAAAATTAAACATGCCCAAGGCAGTCAGCAGTATTTTTAAGACAACACCAAACTAGGAATATGTCTCTAAGAGGAACTTCTATCACTATATACCTCGGTTGTAATATTGGGTAGGTAACAGTGCCAAATAAAAATTAAATTCAGAATCTGTTCATAACTGAGAGTAAAGACGTCTTTCTGATAAATTCTAAATAGGCTGCATTTTCTGTTTATTTTGAAGGCGACTTACTAAGTCTTTGTGTGACTTTTAAGTATGGTATTTATCAGGGTATTTGTTACAAACAAGTTGAGGCAAGACCAAAACAGTTCATTACACTTACCTCTGCAATTCATAGTGTGACATTTTTATCTTAAAGCAAAAAAGGTTCTCTTCAGTCTCTTCTTGATTGTTGAATAGCCAGAAAATTCATAAATAATTTTTACAGAAAGCAGAGCAGCCACCACTCAGGATGTACTGGATAGGCAATCCTGTCAGATCGCTGTATTGTAAATTGTATTGTCCCATTTCAATGGCAAATGGTATTACCATCATGACCAGCAGCAGCTAGCATATTTTACCACCTCAGTGGAACAGAAATAACCGTAACAGAGAAATCTGCTCTGGTCAAACTCTTTAAAACATGTATATTGCAAATAGTTGAGTATGACTTTCAAACTAGCCACTTTAGTATTAAACATTGCCTGTTTAACTCAGTTTGTTATGTGTTCTAACACTGCCCTCTTGTGACATACTACAGTTTTGCAAGCAGTCAGAAAGGATTTTTCCAAACCAATATAAAAGCGAGGCTTTATCTGAGAGATCCCAAATCTGTGTGTTGTCTTTATTAAAACATTTAAATCACATGGAATGCTTCCTCTTATCATAACAGCAAGTAATAGGTAATGTTAATATTTCTGTTTACATGAATTCTCAACTTGGTCCCAATCAGTATCACTAATGCTTTCTCTGAGAAATCACAGGCACCTGCATGAGTAAGCTAATGGGCAGCAAGGCTGTGTATGAATTAATACTTCACCAGCTACACTGAAGTCTTGATCCATTTGTGCATTTAAATATAATTTCTAGTGCAAGACATGTAACTACATGCCTCTGTAGGAGCAAAGGCCATTAAGGCATTCTTAGTCAGCACTAAGTGTACAGTCACTTTCTGCACTTTTAATGGAAGAAAGCTACCCAACACCAAGGGTGACTGCATAAAGAGTTAGTACGTGGTAGCTGCTACACAACGTGTTTATTCCCAGGCTTGCTGAAATTTATGTTTCCCAGGCACACAGATAAACACCCAGTAAGAGTGGGAGAAACACATTTTTAATCAAGAGAATCGATTTTCCGTATTTACAACAATGCTGTAGGCATCATCATATAATCACAGGATAATTCAAGCTGCATGAAAACTCAGGAGGTCATCTACTACAACCTCCTGCTCATCTTAAGTACTAAAAGCTTTTTAGTTGTGTCTAAAGACTTATTAACGAACAGGAACCTAAATACAAAGTCCGTTTCTCTTTTCCTAGAAAAGATGGCATAGTCCTTCTGTACTTTTACACAAGACTACAAACTTCTAAACTTGTAAACTCAGATAAACTCCTGTATCTTTCCTGCTCTGCTGGAAGTTTCTCATTAGCATTAGTGCCATTTATGGTATAATAGTAACAGCAGAGCAATTAACCATTACTATGACTTTGCAAAGGATGCTTTGGCTCCTGACTGCTGTTAGTGGAAAATACGCTCCAGGGCAGGTGACAAGCATCCCTTCATCTTAAGCACTGGTCATCCATTCCTAACTGGGAGCACAATGCTGGCAACTGAGTCTGTCAGGGCTGCCTGCCTGTGGATATACTTTCCTCCATCATCTGGGTTTGTAGCGAGCACAGTAGGCAGGGAGTGCTAGCAAGTACTTCAAGCTCAAGAATGACTAGCACCATGCCTGCCACAGTGCAGGCAAGACTGGAACAGGGCACCCAGGAGCTAAAGGCATGACAAGGAGCAGGACACCAAGGATGGCAAGGAAGGGCACGGTATAAACACCAAGCTGGAGCAAAACCAGAGAAAATATTGGACTCGAATACTACTTAGGAGTCCCCAGTCACCAAACTTATCCAGCACTGGAACGGCAAATGCATGAGCCACTGTCCTTTAGGCAGTCAGGCTGTATTTCATGGCAACTAGGCAGCGGTAAGAATTCAGTTCATTGTTCCTGTGAGATGGAAATGTGAGGTTAAGAAATAACTGCAGAATATAATTTCTAGAACTAGAACTAGAATTGTAGTTCTGTAGTTTCCTTCTGGCAGGAAAATGGAGTGAACCTGAATGAGCAGAAAAAAATATTTACTTTAGAGTTCTTAAAAGGCTGAAATGTTCCATCCTCCATCTAATGGAACAAATCAACACTCCAAAGAGATTCTTAATTTAACTTCCACATCCAGAACGCTTCTGTGGATATACTTCTTTCTAATTCAGTAAAGAGCGTTGGACCTTAACAACAGTGTGGTGCCATCTTTTGGCAGACACCGGAAAATATTCCTGATTGCTTTTAGACCTGCACAAAAAAGGGTCTCATAAGAGCCCAGTACTGTTTCAAATTGTGACAATACCAATGGCAGCCGGGCCACGCTGAGAATTGCTCAAATTAGGATAATTATACTCTCAATCAGTCTCTACTTAGTATAGTGAAGAGGCTGCTAAAAATAATGATAGAAGTTCCTTTAGTATCTATCATTTTAAAGTAAGAAGTATTAAAGACCCAGTGCTCATACACTGCTTTGACTTGCATTCTGACCCAATTTCACCGGTGATGCAAGGCTCAACAAAGTGAAAAATCCAATTTCTGCCATTCTGCTACTACACGCAAGAAACCTTAACCAATCAGCCAGACTTTGGGCAAAGAACACAACAACAACAACAACAGCAACGTAGTGTTACACTTCAGTTTCTGGCTAGCTCATGTGAAGGCACAACGAGTCACATGTCAGAGGTAAAACCCCATGCTGAGCTACATGATGGGACAATCACAGATCTCAAACATGGGAGCAGGGAATGGGACATGATGCCTTCCCAGAAGACTCAGCTCACAGCAGGAAGTGTGTGACTAGTCAGCACGACATTAGATGACAAGGGTTGGAGACTCTCTCCAGGAGAAATATCTCATCCCTTTTTTTTTTTTCTTTACTCTAAAATTCCACTTTTAATTCCAGTAAATCCAGGAGTGCCAAGATACTGAGAAATCACTTGGAATTTGGAGGGAATTTTACTTGTTCTTCTATTTTTTAACACTGAATACGTTTTACCGGCAGGCTTTTGGTCTAACATGGCAGCAGTTCCAATACTCTTGCTATTACTACAATACTTTCCCATTCTTGCAGTGAAGATTGCAGCATGGTATTATCAGACTGCACTGTTGATGGGTTTGGTTTGAACTTTCTGAACAAGGACTGAATTAAAGTATTTCTAGGGAACAAACTAACACCTCTTAGATCTTTAGCTTAACTTCATACGGCACTATTAGAAAAGACAGAGTCTTGTTTCATATTAAAATGTAGACCACTTTTCAGAGCATTACGTTTTAGTTTTCTTGAAATCAATGGCATGATTTGCCTCCAGCGACAAAGGACAACTGACACTAAAGGAGACTCAAAGAAACATGCTTGTGACAAGACAAAGTATCTGTATGATACATGTCGTTGTTATCTACCTCAGCATGTCATACCCTTTCTTTGTACTACTGACTGGATGATTTCAACGGAAAATCTATTTTACCTGGTGGTTGCTTGTATCAGAAACCTTCACATCCAGTGATCCTGTCAGAACAGCATACCAGTTCGTCCCAATATCACCCTGACGGAATACTGGAAAGATGAAATCGTGTAAATAAGAGCTATCTTTTAAGTTTAGCAACATTAACAAACATTTCCCCTCATATTGCTTCCCTCATATTACTTTACTACTGTAGTCACTGCTGGTACTAAAGAATTTGCCGTATCAGACTACTTACTCACTATCACAATATTTTCAATGACACTGGAAAGTAAACTGGTTGATACACTGCAGAACCAATGAAAGCACATAGAACAGCTTCACTCTTCACCCGTTTGCTTCTCTTTTACTGCTTAGTTAATAAACAAAACAAACAAACAAACAAAAAGACTTTCTCAGTAATGACCCTTTGAAATTCAGAATCTTTCAATGCAGTCACAGCTCCCACTAACCTCAGTAAGAGTTATGGTTGAGAAACAACTGCAAGTCTTTGATGGTCAGGCATTCCAACTGTGTGATTACAGAGCACCAGAATTCCTATTACTCTACGCAAACACCAGTGCTGTGTGCCTAAAGCACGCCAGATTTACCTGAGGGGTACCTGAGACTCTACCAAACACCACAGGTCTGCATCAGCTATTCCCCTGGTACAGCTCTGGGAACTCACACACTCTCATCACAGGACTACCATCTATTTCCATCTCAGCTTCATCGACCAAGCACAGCTCTCCACCTTCAGCTGGCTGCCAGAGCAGGCACAGAGCCGGTGCACCCCACAGCAGTATGCAGCTCTGCAAAACTGTCTTTGTGTTATCCAGAGTGACTGCAAACCACATGCTATCAGCAATATGCCTAGGTGATACACTTTTGCCCCAACATTGCGGTCCGGTTAGACAGGGCTCTGAGCAATCTGATCTAATTGAAAATGTCCCTGCTCACTGCAGAGGGGTTGGACTAGATGATCTTTAAAGGTCCCTTCCAACCCAAACTATTCTGTGATTCGATAATCACAAAGTACCTACAAAAGAGATCAATAATACATTTACAGGGGAAGAATAAGGCTTAAGTGCAATGACTCACTTCTAATCTTTCAACAAAACAGTGGCAGAGTTCTAAATCCAGTAATGTGTGCCTTGTTACCATAGATTTACTACACACTGTGTTTGTAGAATAAGCAGCACTTTAGTCCTGCCTTCCCCTGTGACTACGACTGTAAACATTTTTATGTCCATTCCACTGATTGTGCTCTCTCATCCATCTCCTAGAGACAATCCCAGCCCAACCCCCAATTTTATCTACATAAAATAGACCAACATATGAAGCTATCGTACATGTGATTCCTTTTTCCAAATTTTCATAATATCCACAGAGACATATCTGCTGGAGAAGGTTTGGATGGAATTTCTCAAAAGCTTTCACTTCTTTCAGTCGTGTGAATATTATATCTACATCTTCACTGGAACGTTCCAAAGGCCTGCAAGAGAACGAAGGACAAAATTCTCAAGGGCTTTATCAGACAAACATCCCCACCTGCATGCAACAAACTTACAAATGTTTGCATTGAACATCACACTATAATACAAACCAATTAAAATGCACTTCACAGGTACATAATGAAACCCTTCCAAAACATCGTAACAACTGTCCATTATCAACTTCAGCATGATTGTTATCATTTCAACACAGGCAGTGTACAGGAGCCCCATTTAGGACAAAAGTCCTGCTGTAGCAATTACTGTAAGAGTAGGTATGATGACACAGTCCTTATCTTACAGAGCCTAGAATGATTCATAGTTTTAAGTTTGTAAAGGAACACAAATAAGCAGATGTCCAAACACAGAAGAGGTCTGTGGAATCAGTGCCCAAAACAGAAGCTCCCTAACTGGCTAAAAGAAGAGCTTTAGATACCAGCAGTAAGACACATATCCACATTTCTCTTCCACATTTTACTGTGTACAAAGTAAGTGCTCTGTTTTGTCTTCTCACTTGCGAGCAAGAAGACAACTTTAACAAGCACATTCTCTTTCACGTAGCTCCTGTCTCTTAATGTTGGACAAATTAAACACGCAGGCAAGAATCTTAACCCTTCATTGGGAAGGGCAAAGAGTTTTAATCCAAATATTTAAAATATATAACAGTATATATAACAGTAACACCTTTAAAAAAACCAAGATCTCCAGAAAAATAAAATTGTAGAACTCCCTCCAACAAAGTAGCATGTGGACCAGCAGGTTCAGAAAACTACTACATATTTATAGAACCAAAGTGAATTAGATCCATAACATACATTTTAAATGTGATTATCAAACATTATGAATCAGCAGGTAAGCCAACCACTAACTGACAGCATGAGAAAGAACCTTTCGTAACAGACTAAATGACTACCACTATGCACAAAAAGAAACATAGAACATTCCTAGGAGATCATGCTAGATCAGATGCAGAAATCATTTATGTATAAAGGGGTACCAGAAAGATAGACAACTGTCAGTGATCATTAGGCCTATCACTCACTCAAACGCTGCTAGTTAATTTTATTGACAAAAATGTTCTTTTAGCCAGTGGATGAGCTTCTAAATCAACAGAAGTCAGGTAGCTTACAATGAACAAAGACTAAGTTCACAAACACATATCTTTATCATCTTATTGTTACACCCACACTGTAAGCACTCCTTCCAACAGGATTTTTTTTTTAAATATCCCTCTTTGGAATCAAAGACTTCAGGGATCCAAGTCTCTGTCTCAGGTAAGAAGCCCAGATCCTACTCACATTGAATCTCTGTCTCTCATCTTTCTTATTAAATTAAGTCTGGGAGGGATTAAATCCCTACCCTCATTTACACTCCAACTTACCCTTATTAACTACAGGTAAGAATAATAACTCCCTGGTGTATACGTTTGCTTCTACATCACAGTGACATCCTCTTACTACTTTAAACCGCAACCAACTGCAACAGCTCCCTTTCGAAATATTTCAAGTAAGATTTTCACCCATTCCTTTTTCTAACCGCACTAGCTGACAGGTACTAGTAAGCACTCACTCTCTTGTCAAAGTCCTTTTAAGTAGAATAGGAGGTGCAGCTTGCAAACAGATTTAAAATCTGTTTATAAAAGATCCCTACCCAAACTACCTTAGCACTTGGAATGCTAACTCCCTTAATTTATAGACTCTCAAAATTAACAGCAAAACTCGACAAGGAAAAAAAGGGAGATGATTCTCAGAATAACCCCTTTTCCGAGAAAAACTCTGTCTGAGACTGTTTCACTCACACAGCTCCTCATACCTGACTCCATTCAAGTCCAAGAGTTCATTTGCATAGAATTGACCATGTGATCTCAGTGTTGAGTGGCTTTAACTGTTTTATGCAGTTGGACAGGTGAAAAGCAAACAGGGTTAGCAAACAGCACACATCAATTGTATAAACTTGACACACGCTGTTCTCTCAGTACTTTTTCTCAAACTGAGTGCAGAAATCTCTTCCACTTCTGGTCCTATCAAAAGGACAAGATTTGGGGGGATTTATTATTATCGTTTCATAGACTGTGTAGCTTTATTTCCGATAGTTGCTGAAGGCTCTAGAGACGGGGTTCCCATCTAGTTCAGAAGGTGAGAGCAGGGCAATGAGTGCCTTGTGTCAGGCAGATGAACTGCAGGAAAAGCTCCTTCTTCTGACAAAACTGCTTCATGATGCCAGTAAGGAATCCTTCCCATCATGGAAAGACAAGCATTCTCACAGGTAGCTGAGCCATGCTTTTCAGTTTTAAACATCAGCACATCAGTGAGAAACCAAAATCCGTATTTACTGGGAAAGACAAATTAAACTCATGTGTTCCTAGTGGCTTACTTCAGCAAGCAGCTGAGCTACTATTGTACTAGCAGCAATTACTTCCACTTGGAGTACACGAAGTGGGCATTTGAAATAGCATTTGAAACGGCGCATGCAAACATGCTCTAAAAAACCAGAGGAATCCAAACTTCTAAGTAACATGCATAGTAGCAACCTGAAAATTGTTATATTCCTTACAATGTTTCTTAATAACTCATTGCTGCAAGCCATTTGTTTCAGTAGCCTTTTTTCAAAATATACTGGGTTTAATATTACTGTGTGCAACTACATTTCCACAAATCTTTTTAGTGGGAGGACATGCGTTTTGATCCAGCACATTTGGAAATGACGCTAGAATTTGGGAGAGGCTTTCAGTGAACAATTTAACCATGAAGCTATCTTAGAAAAGGTACCTTCTCCTCCAGCTGTGTTGCACAAAGAAAAAAAAAATAAAGCAGCAGCCAGCATGGAAACCTGTAAGGAATCTTAACTGTACCCCAGAATAACAAGTTATTAATGATTCTCAAATGAGACACACAAACACCTAGTTTAAATTTTAGCTGTTTGGTTAAGATCATGATTAAGCATAAAAATGAATGAGGATCCAAGTTGTCTGACAACAAAATGCCTTTGGATTTGATCAGAGCTCCTGGGAAATGTCCTCAATGTTTAGGAGTAAGGAATTAACTAACACTAGGTTAGTGTTAACACTAGGTTAACTCAAGCTGAGGTGGCCCTTAGTCTTTACTGACACGGAATTTTGCCTGTGTAAAAACTCCAGATTCCAGTGTAACAGTAATAGTCGTAGCATTCAAACTCACTTCTGTTAAGTGCTTATATGTATAACAATGAGACTAGTTTTGAAAGGATAGTTTTACTTAGTGAGAGAGCATAGTGGGAATAATAAAATACCACGGTGCCAATTAACTGATTTTCCACATGCCTGCTAAACTCAAAGTTTGATCACCTTCTACAAATATCTTTTACTAAAATTATCATCATTGTAACTGTTGTCATCATCACGAAAATTAACATTAATGAATCTATTTATGATGGCAAATTTTGTTTTGTATTTCCTAAGTACAAGCTGCCTAGCATGGAACAACATCAGCACAGGACAACATAAATTTACTTCCTCACTGCAGCTATCTTACTAAATTGCTGTAAACTTGTCTTTTTTAAAGCATACTTTGGAATAATATTTGAACAGCTACTATTATAATACATTCCTTAGAACACTAACGATTAAACCTATTAATTAGAAAAGTACTGCTGAAGGCAGATGGAGAATTATTCAAGCTTTAATGTCAGTGTAGTCACACTGATAGCAGGCAGTGGTATTAATCCAGAAAGGAACCACTCCCCAAACCAGGGAGCGGGGCTGCAAAAGTCAACCCCCAGGAGATGAATCTCCCTCCACTCCCTACATGGCTCCAAAAGCCTCTGGAAAGGATTTTCCCGAGACCATACCAGAGCACCTGAAGTCACTCCTCTGTGATCACCACTGCTGCTCACTAGAGAGCAATCTCACTGAGCTTAGCCTCCCTCCCCTTGTCCTTCTCTTCTGTGACATTGATGCTGGCATGCTACTGAAGTGTCCTCTCACTGCTGATGCTACTGAGTTATAACCTGATCTGTGACCATAAGAAGTTAAAAAATGCATTTCAGTGAGACTTCAACTTCCACCAGATTTTCTGCTAAAGCTTCTGTCCTTTCACAAGCATGCTCCTGTTTGTGAAAGCTCTAGCCCAACGTATGGAATAGCACCATATATGAATCTAAATTGTGTATAGCTTTCTTAAATCAATTAAAATTCTTCAGCTCTCAACAGTTTGGTAGAGGTTCCAGCTAGAGTAGAAGCATTTTAAGGCAAGGCCATCCTTCTTCTAGAAAATCTATGACTCTGTCCAGTGAAGCATCCACTTCATAGACTGGCTCACCCAATTTAAAATAAAATTTAAGTAAAACAAACCATGGAAGTGTTATATTTGTCATCATCTTTTTTGCATAAAAAACCAGCTTCTTACTCCTTTTTCCCAGCTTTTCAGCATCTGCTGCTATATCTCCATTTCCTTTAAGTCTGCAGGGTACTAGCCCAGAGCGAACTTCAGCAGCTGCTGTAGCAACCACACTTCACTAACTGGCCCGCAACCACAACTGAGTAGGTATCATGCCATGACCATAGCAAATGCCAGGACAAAACCATGTGGGAGGAATGACTGATTTGGAAATGAAAACCTCACACTTAGTATCTCTTACCATGAAGGATAACATGGCTGACACTCCTACATTCCCCCTCCCCCCCCAATCTTCAATTTAATGATTGTCTCTAAATTTGTGTCTCAACAGAGTACGTCCCACTTCACTGTGGCCAAAGTGAGGTGGCCATTTCCAGTGTTGCAAAGCAGGGCTAGAAAATTATTAGGAAATGACAAAAAGCAAGAGCATTTAATTCATTTTCACTACCCTACAAGCCTTTCTGCTTTGTTTGACCACTGAATGCTTTATACAGCTCCTTATTTATATTACTAATTTGCCTCTTCAGAGCATAGTAAGTCTTATCTGGCAGCAACGTTTTCACCTAAGACATCATCTATCTTCTTCTGCTTCTTCAATATAACATCACAGCATACATATACAAGT